CCTGCCCTCCGACTGCAGCACAGCATCATCCCCCCACGGTCCCCAATCCCCTCCAGGAGCACTCCAGCGAGGAATTTCCCACTTTTCCAAGAAGGGGCTGTTTAAAAATAGGAGAGGGGGCAGAGGGCAGTGAGAGGGCCCCCCCCGGGGGGGGGGGAAAGGGTGGGGGGGAGCCCAGGGAGCGGTTTTTCGGCCGGCTCACCGCCGCTGCCCCTCGCTCCGTTGCAGATCTGAAGCTGGAGGTGAGCGGTGGCACCAAGTTGTCACCGGCGGGGGCCGAGGCCAGGCGGCTGCTGCCCCGGGACCACCGAGCCAGCCCCTCCATCTTCCCCAGGGCGGAGGGGAGGGGGCAACCCCCCAAAGCCCAGAGCGATGCTCTGACACCCAAAATCCAGACCCCCAGCGCCAGGGAGCTCCAGAAAATCACGGCCCTCCATGCCACGGCACCGCAAGCCAGGGAGGGGGGTGCCCCCGGCCACCCCACACCGAGCCCCTCGCTGCCCGGCAAAGCCCCTTCTCTCTCCCTGGACCCCCCCAGCCCTCTGCCACCGGAGCCAGGGAGCCCAGAGGGTGAAGGTCCTGCCTGGCCAGGAGGAGATGGGGGTGAGATGAGCCAAGGGAAGGAGCATCCTCCCCCCGGAGCCGCGGTAGAGACCCACGATGCCAGCCCCGAGCCCCCCGGAGCGGTGCCCACCCTGCGGTACCCAGCCCAGCTGGTCAGCGAGGCGCTGGAGGATGCTCTCAAGGAAATGAAGGACGATGCTCAACCCAAAGAAGAGCCCACACTCAGCGCTGCGTGGGTCCCCCAGGATGCCCATTCCCCCCCCAGCCCCATTCCCCCCATAGAGGCTCGGAGAGGAGATGAGGAAGGGCAAGCCCCCTCCAAGGATGGTGAAGCCCCAGAAGAAGAGGAGAGGGCTGTGGAAACCATGTTCCAGGGGCTGGGTGCGGGACCACATCCCGGCAGCACGGGTGTTTCCCTAAACCGGGAAGAGACAGGACCATGGGAGGAGGAGGTGCCCACTGTACTGACCCCAAGGGAACCAGAAGTGGTGGCCCAGGAAGAGGACACAAGTGGCCCTGGCCAGACGGGGACAGGCCTGGAAGAGCCAGAGCGAGGGGAGGATGAGGAGGAGGAGACCCCAAGAATGGAGGTATCTCACCCCTCGGAGGATGAGGAAGAGAGGGGACCCAGCAGCCCCTACGAGGATGATGATGATTTCCAGGGTGAGGGGATGGATGAACAAGAAGAGTCCCCACAAAGAGAAATCGAAGCTGCCATTGCTGTCCCCATGGAAAGCCAGCCGGGATTGCCGGTGGAAAGTCACCTGGAAGAGGACCTTGTTGATGGAGAACAGGAAAAGTTTGAGCATCAGGAAATGCCCGTGTGCGAGATGGATCTGGCTGCAGAGGAGGGAAGTGGGCAGGAGACATGGCCAGGGCAGGAGATGTGCCTGGAGCAGGAGCCCTCGAGCATCCATGAGGCCATCCCAGCAGAAGAAGCTTCATCAGGGGCTGAAGAAGATGTCGTGGGAGGGGAGGACACAGGCAGAGCAGAAGATGGTGAGGGAGAAAAGGGAGAGGCCAGCAGGGAGGTGCTGGGAGGGGAAGACCCCCAGGCAGGAGAGGCTGAGGGACCTGAAGCCCTGGGGCAGGAGAGAGGAGCCCAGGAGGAGCCTGAGGACCTGCAGGAGAATGGCTTTAAGGAAGAAGTGCAGGAGCAGGAGGAGCTGGAGCCGGAGCTGGGAGAGGAGCCCTGGGCTGGGAGGGACAATGGCAGCAGCCAAAAGGCCCCTCCAGAGGACTGGGAGGTGACAGCAGAGGACACAGAAGGGGCTCTGGGGGCAGAAGAGCCAGGCTGGGCAGATGACACCCCGACAAGCGCAGGAGGGCTGGAAAGTGAGGAGAGAGATGCCAGCGTGTCACCAGCAGAGCTGGAGGAAACCCGGGAAGAAGATGAAGAAGAAGATGCTGAGACCCAGGGGACGAGCCAGCAGCAGCCACCAACGGAGGCTGAGCTGGCCCCGGGGCTGGCGAGGGATGAGGAGGAGGTCACCGAGGAGCAGCCTGACCAGGCACCTGATGATGCCACTGGGCAAGTGGACAGCCAGGAGCCCACTGAGGCTCTGGAGGAACCATGGGAGGTGCAGGATGAAGATGCCGATGATGAGGTCAACTTGGACCCAGGACAGCCAGAGAGAGACAGCACCGTCCCCGCGGCACTTCAGCAGGCACCGGGTGATGGCACGGAGAGCGGTGAGTTGGAGGAGGGAGAGGAGGATGGAGATGAAGGGCGATGGGGAGAGCTGGAGGAGGCACCAGGGATGGGCAGGAAGGTGGAGCTGGAGGACACGCTGCCCGACAGCACGCCCTTGCGCCTCTACCAAGGGGAGATGCTGGCTGTGGTCTCACCCGGCCAAATCCCTCCGGAGACTGAGGAGGAGACCACGGAGGCAGCCCCCGCATCCCAAACAGCTCCGGAGGATGAAGGGTGGGACAAACCACCAACTCCCACCGTGCCAGAGAGCTGTGAAGAGGAGGCAAGGCTGGAGGTAGCCCCCACGGCAGAGGGTGCCGAGGAGGAGGAAGGCTATTTCATGGTCTCTGCTCCCAACCAAGAGGTTTCCAGCTCGGAGGAAGCCGAGATCACCGAGGACTTTGAAGAAATTAAAGTTGAAGCAACCGAAGCCAGCAAAGATGGTCTGGAAGCTGCCAGAGAAGCATCTCCCGTGGCAGAGGACGAAGGGCACTTTGAGGCATTCGTTGGTGAAGCAGACGAAGAAGTGAAGATGTCCACGGAAGAACCTGAGGCACCAAAGGATGAGGATGAGGATTTTACTGCTGAGCTGGAGGAAGGCTCAGCTGTGCCCGAGGAGGATCCCAGCTCCCTCGGGGCTGCGGGGTCGTTAGCAGGAGGCACTGACGAGCCAGCCCAGGGTGCCACAGGCTCTGATGTGCAGGAGGGAGCAGGGAGCTCAGAGGGTTTGGCTCCTGAATCAGACGAGGAGCTCGATGGCGAGGTCGAGCTGGAGACCGACGCCGGCAGAGCCGAAACACTCCCGGGGCTGGTGGGGCAGGAGGAGAAGGAGGAAGAGGAGGAAGAGGATGACAATGAGGATCCCTGCACGGCTCACCATGATGTGGCCGAGCCCATCCCTCCAGCAGAGCTCCAAGCCCAGGTGATGCCAGCTTCTCCACCACCCGACCACGCGGTGCAGACATCAGATGAGCAGCCACCTGAGGAGGAGGAAGCACCAGACGGTGACAGAGCCCCCCCAGCCAGGGACGAGGAGCCCCCCGAAGCCAACCCCCCTCAGCCAGAGCCAGGAGATTTTCCAGAGATGATTAAAGAAAGCCCAGAGGGGGATGACCCCGCTGCAAAGGCGCCGGCAGACGACATGAAAGACTCGGATATTTTGGAAATAGTCGAGCAAGCCCTGGAGTTCAACCAGGAGCTGGTGATGGGGGGGAGGGTGGCCGAGGGAGGGAAGCAGGATCCCGGTGAGACCGAGCAGCTCCCCCGGGACGCCGGGGAAGACTCCTCACCCGCCTCCTCCAGCGAGGAGGAGCCCACGGTGCAGGAGGCACCGGTGGAGGTGGCACCGGGGACGGAGGGTCCGGTTCGGGCTGAGAACGGGCTGCACCGGGAGGCCAGCCTGGAGGACCTGGCCGAATTCACCGAGGAGGTGCCAAACGGCATCACCGGCTTCTCCCCGGCACCGGAGTTCCCCGCCGAGACCCCAGACCCCACCGGGGGGATGTCTCCTGCTCCCGGCGATGCCACCACCGCCAAGCTGGCCGATGCCACCCCCCGTGGCAAGCACGGTGGGGCCGACACCGTCCCCGTGACGTCCTCCCTGGGGGACGATGGCTTGTGCCTCGTGCCCGACCAGCCACCGGCGTGTCGGCTGCGAGCCGAGCAGGAGCCCTGGTCCTCAGGGGACGAGTGACACCCCCCC